AGATTTAGGTGAAGGGAACTATTGGCAGAAATTAAAATCTTCATGACTAGTTCATTTCATCTAAATTGTATGAATTGTAGTTTCTTTACCCCAGAAAAGTTCCTTTATATTTAAATACTTTATATTTACATGGAGGGGACCCTCTCTACGGAGGCTGCCATGTTTTTTACATTAGTCCAGACTGAACAAACTAAACACCTTTTGAGTTTTTATGACAACTGAAGCTGCCACAGGTTCTTTTTCATGTTTGGAAGGAGAGGGTGAGGTGAGGGGTGTTCAGCTGCAACATGAAACTTTAACACTCGATACCACTAAATTCTACACACTGTACCTTTAAATGCGAATGATAATTGAAAGATTTAATGATTTGTTGTTTTTCAAGAGTGTAAAGTTCCCTGTTATATTTACTCTCCACGAAAGCGTTTTCTTCCTCAAACATTTGCAGAGCATATTTATATTTTTTGGGATTTTGGAGCGAGCTTGTTTACATTCATGTTCACCAGCTGGCAGTGGTCTTTCTTCCTTTTGCTTGTGCGTTGCTGCATTTCTTGGCACATTATCACCACCAACTGTTGTGGACTAGCATGAAAATGTTGGCAGGCATGTGCGCAGCGTTGCCCATGTGTGTAAAAATGTTGCTCCACGGTGCTAATACTTATCAAAACCTGCACAATATACCCATTTAAAATTCCTTACTGATCCATCAGTTCTTTCAGCATCAGTTTGAATCAATCACTTCAGACCAGAGGGAAATTCAGTGCTGCAGAAATTACACATATTGAACTTGTTGTTGTCCTTGTGTGACATTAACAGTAGTTTTTCACAGTTCCACAGGCCTCTGCTCTGGAGTACATTCGTTGTAGACTTCTGTGTATTACATTCATCCACATCCATCCTCGGGCGCTGTCTGGAACCTGTCTGAAGGCTGACCTCGCTTTTCTAAAAGGCCCCACTCAGCCACCAGCCTGCCAGTCCAGGGTAGAGACCAATTACCCTCACCACTGTGCTACTCTTATTTGCAGAGGCACGGATGTTTGCTCCATCCCTTTCTTCTCGAAATCATTGATATATTTACACAGAGGCACAATTGGTCGTAATGGCTGTGGAGCTATTTGATAATCTGATCAGAAATCTTGTGAGGTGGCGGCCGTTAACGGCACCCGGAACATCTGTGACGCTCGATATCACAGGAGAGGATTTTGTTCCTGCTGATGACTTTAATCTAGTCTCAGCAGAGATGTGATGCATCTACAGGCTGATTAAAACACACATCTGTAGATACAGCACAAATCCAAGTCTTTTGAATGGTTGGATGCAGCAACATTAACCAGAGATGTTTGCGTGCTCATTTTTCTGGTTGGTTTGGGGGGGGGGGTGAAATGAGATGAGTGACAGTTTAGACTGACTCAGAATTGGTCGTGTGCCCGTGTAGGCGGGACATCCAATCCAGCGGCTCCACACAAAACGCTCACATTTGCACAAACTCTGGCTCCAAATGACGTCGAGAGCTCAATATGGCGTCAGAATTCTGTTTTTGCAGACTGTGCAAAATCATATGAATCACGTGATGCCCCCCGCTGAATTTCACGGGGACACCACAGTGTCCAAGTGTTGCTGTTTTCCTCAATAGATGTAAATCATCATATCAGCAGCTCTTGTGCGTCAACCCCGGCCGTCTGGAGGGAAAACCCTTCGTCCTCGGTGGCATTTACATTCTGTCTGAGCGTGCTCGTTTCCCCTTCAGCCTGTGCTGCCGAGCAGGGCTGTTGTTGCCTTTGAATGAGGAGTCGTATTTGCTCTGCTCTCATGCTGCACCACTTTTCCGTTTGTCGACCCCTTGGCTCTGCGGCGGAGACACTGTTTGCATGAGAAAGAGCAGCTGTTGAATGTCATTGTGAATGTGAGGCTCTGCTTGTGTGACTGTGCATCTAATGGCAGAAAGTGCAAGCACCTGCTGGTTTCGCTCTTTTATCCCAGGACATATTGACAGATTCTCTTCAACACGAAGAGGACAAACCCACAGACATTCAGTTAAACCTTAGATTTCTTGAACTTTATGCCGACGTGCAGCGCAGAGGTCAAAGGACCTTATTGGCGTTTCTCGTTAGCTCGCTCGTTAACTACAAATTGGATTAACTTTACCTTCTAACCTCGTGTTCACAGATTTATTGACCAGCTCTTCTGAAAACGTTGCTTACCAGTTATATGATATATAATAAAATGTATATAAAGATGGATTACAACACATCTCCTAAAAGTGGACCCCAAGCATCTTGATCGCCCCCTGGTGTCCTGTTGCAATATAGGTTGCAAACCCCATCTCCTCCAGGTTCATGAACAGGACATGGGCCAAACTAAAAACTCAGAGCACACGTCAAAGATGTTTTTTTTGTCATTTACATGTTTATTTTTGTGGAAAATTCACTTTAATTTTGTTCTCATTTCAGATATAAGTTTGTTTCCTTAATGTTTGTGTTTCATTAGAATAAAAACACAACGTTAATATTACTTCTTTTCTTTGCTGCCTTCTGATTGTAAATGAACATAATATATCTGCCCCCGGCGAGAGATGACATTAGACCGTGCTTTGACTTTTTGCCTATAATAAGTCTCTTTATGACCCAAACTGCACTGAGTCTAAAAAAAGAAAAGAAGACTTGTTCAGCCCCTGTTCCAAAGCCACCATTAGCTCTGCAGCAGACACGTGTTTGTTTCAAAAGACTAAATTAAACTACTAAGTGGTGAATCAACTAAATCACTGGAAGCATGCTGAGTTTGAGAGAAATTACAGTTTGTACTGAGAAGAGATAAAAATCAAATCTCATCACTGAAAGTCACAATGTTGGCGTTTCCTTAGATTTTATGCAGCTGTGATGCGTTTTTTAGTTTTATTATCCTCCAAATGTAATAATGTAAGGGAATCAAATATATGATTAAACATCTGTAAAGAAAACAGTGCACCTAACGCCTCAGTGCTTATCACAAAGAGCAGCAACATCTTCAGATCTATAAAGTAGACATCTGAACAAGCCAATGGGAAGACATTTTTAAAGTGTGATTACTGGAGAGGCAGACTTTCTTTTTTACTCTGTTCAACCAAAACACTTTTAGGATGTGTCCCATGACGAGACATGAGAGCTGGGTCAGCTCATGGACACGAACCTCTGCAGAAACGATCAGTAGACACCTTTTTTTTAACTTCCAATTTAGTATTTTGTGGCAACTCGTTGAAAAATGGAATAAGTTGACAAAGCCGTCAAATGTTTTAAACTCACAGAGGATAGTAATTATCTATATCTGAATTATTTCTTGATCGTAGTTGTAGTGAAACTGTGCTCAGGACTAGCAGCAGTCATGTTTGGTGGCCGGTAGTGAGGCGGGTTCAGGGGAGTCCTGAGAGAGCTTTGTTTGTCTCCTTAGCCGAGAGTCCCAGCAGGCTCTGGTTGCATTAGCGCTGAGAGACCTATAATTACAGCGCTGATGCACTTGTTAGCGAACCGCTGAGTCCTGCCCTGTGAATCTGAGTCCGCAGTGTTTGTCACTGTGGAGAAGCGGTTCGGTCTGATACTGTCTGCAAGTCATCTGTGCTGATGCACAGGTTTCAGAGATGACACAAGAGCATTTTTGCTTCATAGAGTCATGTGTCCAGCCTGTAAAGTTGTTGTTAACTTAACAACACCCTGGGTCCTGGACCTTGAGCCGCCCTGCCCACACGGCTCAGACTGTTGGCCTGCGCTTCAGCAGCTGTGGGAGCTGTCGAAAGTTTTCAATAACAACATGTTGTTGCCAAGATACAAATAAAAAAAACGCAACAATGCAGCACAACTTCCCCCGAAGTTCTGGGTTTCATGTAATGTTATCATGTCGTTGGCTGAGAGTGTGAAAGAATAACATCCTGATTGTGGAATGATGGAAATAATTATCAGTTTGTCTGAATGTGGACGACTCTGTGAGACGTGTGTTCCTTGTGGTTGTCTTCACCGGCAGACCAAGATCTCCAACTGCCTCTGGTGGCCGAACACGGGAGGAGTGTGTTCTCTGCGGCTTTCTCTTGACGTTAGTGTGAATCGCTGCTGAGAGACTTGTTTCAGAACAAGGCTGCGACTGGGTGTGTGTGTGTGTGTGTGTTAGCAGAGTCATCGCACCCTGAGACCCAAATCAGTAATGATACAATCTCTGACTGCGTCTAAGTGTCCCCCTGTGTAATTCAGCTCCTCTGTGCTGCTGTGTCATCAGGCTGGAATTGATCAGGCAATAACAGTCTGGGCACCGTGCTTTACTTTAGCAGGGCTCGTGGCCGCCCGTCGTGTTGGCCTCGGATAATAATTTGCTGTGAGGTTTAATCATTTTCAACCCCGGAGCTGTCCTGGGTTTGTGTTTACCTGCCCTGCTCTGCTGACTGGCTCTTGTGTAATAATCATTTCAGGGGGGTCTTTAAGTGAACTGCAACCTGAATGTTATAGTTTGTATTTCAACGCTTTAGATAATGAAATGAAGCTGGTATCAGCTCTAGAACAGACTTTAAACAGTTGACTGAAATATATAGGCGGGCACATTAAACTGTACATAGTGTGTTATAGCATATACAGAGATCGCTCAGTGGGATTTACTGAGATGAAGGAAGCATACAACTAAAAAAAATATGACATCAAAAAGAATGATGAGAGCTGCTGCTAACTGTTATTTGTTACTGCTGAGTCAAGGTTTATTGATAACAACAGTCGTAATAGTTCATAAATTAGACTGGACCAGTTTCCGTCGTATCCCCTGGTGTTTACACAGTACACTTAACGTGTTGCATCACTTACTTGATTTCATCAGTTTGTTAATGTGTGAATGGCACACTGGTCATAAATCAAATTATTGGTCCAATAATTTTTGTATATAAGTTTTGTACAGTCTCTTGGTTTTTTATTGTGATGCTTGTTTTATCAAAATAACATTTTCATTATTCACAACCTTGAATCTCTTCTTTCTCCACTTATCTTTCTCTCTGTCAGGCTGACGGGACCCTCCGGTTATCTGAGTGACGGACCAGGAAACTACAAGTACAAGACAAAGTGCACGTGGCTCATCGAGGGACAGTAAGTACGGCGCTAATCAGACATGTCAGTCAAACACCACATCGAGACTTTCCATCAACTATGCTGCTCGTTTTTGAGAACTTGAGTTTTTGTCTGATACTGAATGAATTTCTTTAAAAAAATCTGAAAATGTTTGAGTGGGCCATGTCCGTGATAATTCCTTTTATTAAGTTAGTGTTACAGTAGAAAATTAGGGAGTAAAGAATTTTGGTTTCAACATATGAGCCGAATGAAAACAAATAAAACTAAATACACAGATAAACATAAAAAACCCTTTTCTGAGTCGAAGTTTTCATCGCAGCTGACACCATTATGTCTGTGAAAGGCTCATATAGGCACGTTTTTATTGGACTCAAATGAAATCGTGTTGAGCACATTATTAGTTTGATCCAAAAGTAATATAAATAAATCTTTCAAATGAGGCGTTCAAACGTTTGGACTCGTAAGTAGCTTGAGGAATCACCACGTGAACATGAAACTGATTCTCTTATTTCATTAAATTAGCTTCGACAAAGGAGGATTTCTAAACCCTGTGCTCAGCTCTGAGATCTAAAAACTGAGGCTACGACTCAATAATGTACATTTTTCACCGGCGCTGATCATGATTGTTATTAGACAGGGTCGTCCTTCACTCACGTCCACCTCGCATAAGGGATGTACAGTATCCACAGGGTGACGGATGGACATTAATGGCAAAGTAACCGTGAAGAAATTCAATACTCCTCCTGTATTGTTCAAGTCAGCATAACCGCAGCACAGAGTATTGATTCAGGGCAACAGTTCTTCGTTTATCTGGCTCCCAGCTCCTCCAAACCATGAGCTCTTTGATTACATTTACATTTCAGGCCTCGAGCCAACGCTTATTTAGAGGGATTCAACGCGAGCGACCGTGTTGGGCCTCAGGAGGTCACAGTCACTGTACGCTCACCTCGACGCAACTGTCACCGCTTCGGGCTCTTTGAACTTCTGACCCTCCTCCTCCTGGATGGAATCTAATCGCCATGTCGTCCAGCGTTTTCATTGCATTCTAATGGCGCATTTATTAGTCTTAAGCCCGCGGGCTGCTCTTAACAAGACGTTAACGTCGTGACTCGCGCATCCAAGTGACCAGAATACTTTAAAAGGGTTTTATAAGCCTCCGACATCAGATACGTGTGTTGAATCCCTCTGCAACAGATAAACAGTGATTTGTGACATACGGCCACACGCCTGGTACGCTGTGTTTCAAAGGGACCTTGATGATGGTGGTTTCTGAATTAGAATGGGGTGTTTTACTCCTCTTTTAATTCACCGGTCACAAGTCTTCTTTGCAATCAAACCTTGGGGCTGCTGCCATTCTTCAGGTTTATTTGCTGGGGGTGGGGGAGGAGGGAGGAGTGAGTCACCGCTTCACTCCGATAAATGAATCGTGCAGAGCAAAATGTGACTTTTCATCACATCTCCTGTACATCTTGTACCCTCGTCGTTAATGCGCTAAATGGGCCTTTGTCCTCCGTCCCTCCTCTTTTCAATGATTTCATTTTGCGATGTTAACCAAATTTAGAGCTGCGACATTTTGAAGAATCCCATGAATGTCTTAAATCCAAAACTGATTACACAAGCTTGTTTTTCATGCCTCGATATGTGATGCCCTTCACTAACACTCTGCCATGGACGGTTAGTTTATTCATTCTGCACAGTGGAGAAAGTGCAGCAGCAATTTTAACTTCCTGTATGATGTAAAAGGTCATTGTCAGATTTATCAGGTGGATTTTTAATGTAGCACAAAGACATGATAGTTTATATTACAAATTATATATATATATAATATTTAATAATAATAACTTAGATTGGAACAACAAGGATATGTGGGTTTTATATTAACTATGTTGTGTGTGTGTGTGTTTCAGGCCCAACACTGTACTTAGATTAAGGTTCAACCACTTTGCCACCGAGTGCAGCTGGGACCACCTCTACGTGTACGACGGAGACTCCATCTATGCTCCGCTGCTCGCTGCCTTCAGGTACAGTGGATTTGACAGTCGGAAGGTTTGGTTGAGGTCTGAGTAGAGTGAAGCTCGACCTGCGTTTGATTTCACAATTTTAATGCAAAACCTGTGAAAAGGATTTTTAATTTTCCTAAAAAAGTGTTTTCGGAGTAGCAGGGAAAGTTCTGCAAACTCCTATTTTACAAACCGTTGCTGAAGCATGACATTATTACATCGCTTCCAATAACAGCCTTAATTTTGACTTGTGTGTTGTTATTGCAGTGGTCTTATTGTTCCGGAGCGTTATGGGAACGAGACGGTTCCAGAGGTGGTGTCTCAGTCTGGCTACGCCCTGCTGCACTTCTTCAGTGATGCAGCCTACAACCTGACCGGCTTCAACATTTCCTACAGGTGAGACAATAGATCCATACTCTTGCTCTTGTACCGACCCCTTGAATGTGATATCTCCTTTAATCCAAAATGATCACATATATATTTTTTTTTAAATACAGATAAACCCACAAAAAAATGGCAATCAAATCCTTTTCCCATTGCCAGTAGAAGAGTGTGCCTTTCTGTATTTTCCCCATCGCGTCATTTTCCGCGTCACAAATCAACTAGAAACAGATTCTTCACTGTTGCATCCTGCACAGTTTAAAAAGTCGTGGTTGCACGTCATTACTAAGATGTAGAAAATAATAAGTACACAAACATTCGTGAGTATTTGCACGCCTAAAGTTCTGAGTGTGTCACATCACACCAGGAAAGGAGCAGCGTTAGCGTCTGGACTGCCAAAACTACAGAAAAAGAAATTAGTACTTTCACTTGGGTGTTTCCATCACTGCTGATCGGAGTCGGAGCCGATGATATCGACGGTTGTATTTGATTCTTAAATGTTAGCGCATTTGTTGTCCAGTGGAAAACGGGCTTTACACGAAGCTTTGAGCAAGTTGAAGTTCAAATTTCTTCAACAGGCTGTTCTTTCAAAAGAGATTTAAAAATTAAATTAAATCTCCATTTGGTTTCATCGTTTTGTTTTGGGTTTTTTTTTAGGTAGGGAGTTTCCTCATATCACATTGCTCTTAAGCCTCTGCAGCTGAGTGTGAGCTGCTGCCAACTGTTTGAGTTTGCATCTCCGAGAGTCCACACATGCACGATGGAGTCAGTCACTGAATACGCGTCTCCATCGAACGACAGATATATTGATACTAACTCCTGAGAAGAAACCCTCAGTGCAAATCATTTCTGTTTCACTGCCTGTTTCTCACAGGCCCGCTTCCCTCCCTCAGAACACAATGACTCATACAAACTTATTGCTTTCTGCATGATTCACTCTGCACACTGACATGACTGGTTTGACGGCACTTTAGCAAGAGGCCGGTTTTCTGCAGTGTGTTTTACATCAGGTCATTTCACCAGCATCATACTGTGGCAGGTACGTCAGCAGAGTCAGGACCTTCTTAGTTTGGAGGGACTCTGACATGAGCATCACACGGAACCACGTAATGATTTGAGTGAGACGAGAATGTAAATCATTTTGACCTCTACTGCTTCAAATGCCACATTTGACTCCCCTGAATATTTTACATTTTTTGAAGGTTCATAGGTTCAGATTAAAACTTAAATTGTGCAAAATTATATAGTGAACTATATTCAAGTTATTATCTGAAAGTTTGTGAAAATCGAAACAAAAATAAGAAAAAAGTTGGCACAAACATTTTATGACTTACACCGCAGGGGGCAATCAAGACACTGAGGCTTCACTATTGAAGTGTCGTTATGTCGTCCACTTTTATCTACAGTATCGGTGACCTGCAGGAGTATTATAGGATAGGATCATAGGATAGGTAATGGTCCACATTTATTGGAAACCCTTGTTCTAAGGTGCGGCTGCTCATCCGTTCACCTGTTTCTCTGTATTAGTCACTCGCTACGTGTGCATGCACACATTGAAAGTTCGAAAGATGCTGTTTGAGTCGGTTCAACTGAGATAAAAAGGCCTGTCCCTTCCAAACATCTGCAAAAGGACACAATAAGACCATTGCGTCCCCGTCCCCCCCCCCTCCTCGCTCATTGGTGGTGTCACCATAGCGATGGGATTGAAGTTGGGCAGAGAAGCACAGAGTCGGATGAAAGCAAAGTGCCCCCGGGCCCCTCGGTCTTTGGTGTCTGGAAGAGGTGGCAAAGGAGGCGAAACATCAAACCATCACACTGCTGAAGGAACATGAAAGAAAGACGAGGGCCCTGTGTGTCGTCTGTCTCCCTCCCAAACACGTTTGTCTTCGGGACGAAGAAAAAAAACTTTAACCTCTTTACTTCAGTCTCCTGCTTTGAGATGGATAGACTTGTTTACTCGTCATTACTGCAGGACGTTTACGTTTTCTGGTCTTGTCCACAGTTTGCAGTTTGTCTTCCTGTTTACATAAGGAAAGTCTGTGTGTGTCTGTGTGTGTCTGTAGTTTTTTCTTTATTTTCGCTTCCTTCATTCGTAGTTTATGGTTAGGGTTTCCAGTTTTTCTTAGTATCTCATGTGAACACTGCAGGCACAGAAACTGAGAAGATTTGAACTATGATTTAGTTTCCACGGTAACTGTGAGCATAACTTGCTCGCTGGCAGCTTTTCTTCAACAAACCCACAAGAGTTATTCTCCGTCTCCTCCTGCTGAGTCTAAAGAAACCGTCTGACGCTTCAGTCTAACTAATCGAACCCTCTTTACAATCAACCAGGCCTCAATAGTTGGACAGAGACATTCAATTAAGACTCTGAGCAAATATGGATTTTTGTAGTATTATATAATATTTTAGTATTTTATTCTTTTTTACAATTTGTTTTTGATTTTTTTTTTGTTAACTTGTTTTTTAAATTTCAGATGGCGACTTTATCATCTAAAGTCAGTAGAATCAGTGGGTTGTTACTGGGTCAGACTGAGGATACAATCATAGATCTATAAACTCTCTTATCTTTTTAACCACATATTTTTTTATCTCCTGCTGACAGAGGCACTTTGTCCCCCTTGGGTTACTGCAGATTAGATATATCTTATTTATTTGTGTATATATATATATTTATATATATATATGTAATAAATCCATTCAACATTTAGCACATTTAGCATCCATTAAGCAAATTAATCAATCTTTAGTGGACTGAACTAAGTAAAAGTGACCTTTTTCGACTTTTCTTTCACTGCTGCAGGTTTTGGTTTGTTTTTTTTTCCGGTCAAACATTATCTCTACAGCTCCACTGGAATTCAAATGGAAGCTCTTTATTTACCCGTTGCCACAGTGAATCCATTCAGCCTAACACAGAGTGCACATACTGAGATTTGATTGAACTAATACAGATCAGTTTCTCTGCTCAGGATTCATCTCGTCAGGGTTCAGGGTCCAGGCTCAGACTTTGGTAATATCTGTTTACTGGAACCAGCCTCAGCCGTGAGGTTTGTTGGCACTGGTTTGTGCCGAATGAGAGAAAGAAGAAAACTGGTCACCAGCAATGATTAATGAATGGAATTTGAGACATTTGTTCAGTATTGTCAATGATCTCTTAATCTTTTGATTAATAAATAACAGCATAGAGAAGGTGTCATGCTGTAGTGGAGTCATTGTTTACACCACATACTAAGTGCACAGACTGTATTATAGTTTTTAAGAATCGGAATTGGGTTTTATTGCCAAGCAGGTTTACACGTACAATGAATTTGCTGTGGCGTATTTGTGAACATATAAATGTAAAAAAAAAAAAAAAGCACCAGGGGAGGGACAAGCAGGAAAGGAGCATTGACTTTCAAAAGGAAAGAAAAATATTTTCCAAAGATTCAATTTTTAGTTTTAGTTTTCTAATCTCTTCAGGAAGATTTTTTTTTTCCTGGTGTATTTGTTCATGTTCTTTGTGAGTTTCTTTATTGGACAACAGTTTATTACTCAAAACCTATTATCATGCTCGGTTCAATGTGTAATTACGATGCTAACAGAGGCGATAAAAGTACGGAAACAACCTCGTTCTTTCAAACCTGAAAGTTGCAGATTGATGCTGACTCGCTGTTTTACTGCAGATTGGGCGTGTTTGCCATCTGCTCCTCAGGCCTGTGGTGACTCCATATCCGCCAGTAACTTCAGCCGGTAGCTCGATGCTGTTTGAGCGCAGGCGGTCCTCTGAGAAGAGTGACAAGTGTTGAGGCAGGTGCTTGACCAACTGATCGGGGAGGACGATGCCAACAACAACACGTTCAGCTGTCCGGAGGGAGAATGTTGCATATTCCAGCTTTAAGCCTGCGGACAGCTGAGACACTCCTTCCACTAAAGCAGATCTAACTCCCCAGTTTGAAGTTTATCCTGATATTTTATTCACAGACTTAAACCCTTGCTTTCTCTCTCTCTCTCTCCCCCCCCCTCTCAGGGTGAATTCATGTCCCAACAACTGCTCAGGCCACGGCGAGTGTCGTGTGGGGAACGCCAGTACTTCGGTGCTCTGCGAGTGTGAAGCCAACTGGAAGGGAGAAGCCTGCGACGTCCCGTACTGTCTTGCTGACTGCGGCTACCCCGAGCGAGGTCACTGCCAGGACGAGTCCTGCGTCTGCGAGACAGGATGGCAAGGTGGGCCGGCACCGCTGAGGCTTTGCTCCGCTTGCCAGTGGATGTGACCTCATTGTCTCATGCAACGCGCTCATTTGAGTCACCACAATGTCATCGAGTTGGCTTCGGCAGGCCCACGCACGCCAAATACCCCCCAGCTATTAAGATAAGCTTTCTGCTGGGCCTACGTTCTGTGCACAGAATGAACAGTGGCTCTGCTGCCATAAATTTAAACTGCCAAGATTCACTTCAACCGGCCAAAAGTGATTAATACAGGATATCTGTGGAAATACAGTGCGTCTCCTTCATATTTCTTAATTGATTTTGTGCCGCAGTTATGACACTTTCAGTAACAAGCAAACCGAAGATTAGAGGCAACAACTCTGCTTCTGTTTCTGTTTGAGCGGCTGGATCTCAGTCAGAGTGTGAAGTGATTAGAGCTGAAAACAGTGAAATACTGAGGGACTGTGTAATTAGCTTGGTTCCACACCGCTGATTTGTCGCCCACATCTTTGACTTTTTCAGCGATTCATATAGAATGAATGAAGTGAGCAGAAACGCCAATTCAGTCTAATTATCGGGCTAATTTATAACTGAAGTAGTCAAATAATCTGGTTAAGTGGCCTCATCCCTCCCTCTGAGGATGTCTGACAGAGCTGTGGCACAACATGTAAGTTAGAGGGAGAAAGATTAGGTTTAGGTTCAGGAGGAGGTCTCTGCCTCCCTCTGCCTGCTGACCCGACACTGCCGATCAGCACTGAGCAATGGTTTCCCATCAACCCCTCGGACTAATCCCAGTCTAAAAGATCAGCTCTGTGGATTTATATGTTTGAAAAGGTCTCTATAATATGAACATGAACGTTAAATCAACAAGTCCTGCTCTCAAACCGAAGGATGACGCTCTTGAATAAAGAGAGAATAAAACCCTCCATACCTGGACATGTCGTTATCGTGTCACGGCTCCAAATACGAGGACAAACACATATATTCACACCCATGGTTGGTTCCCAGTTAACCTACATGGGTTCGGGTTCCTGCTGCTCCCACAGCCTCCGTCTGCTCTTACCTGTTGCACTTTAATAAACTCGGATCAGTTTTGCTCTTCATTTTGGTTGAGTCATCTTTTTTAATTTGACCTGTCGTTACTGTCCTCTTTTTTTTTTTTTAAATCCAACCATATGGGCCTAAGCACTCTATTAGTTCTTAAATGGCTCCACTGCGCTGCAGCGCACAAGCAGAGACAACAGCTTAATTTAACTGCAGTTTTATCAGCAGCTCAGTGTGCTCATGATCTAATTACCAAAGCTGAGGGAGTCGGGGAAACAGACTGACAATCTTTTTTTATTTTTTAGCCTTTATTACCCTGTCATGGTGTTTTAGCCGAGGAATAGGACACTTAGTGCACTCTGTGCCGCTATCTTCCAAATGAACTCATTTTCTACACCAACCAGTGCAAAAGCAGAGACAGCTGCCTGCTCAATAAAGCCAGCCTTGCATTTAGTCTCTGTCACAGATGTGTAGCTTCTACAAACTGCATCTCAAAGGGAGGAGAAGTCCAGCTTCTGTTTTATTTATGGAGATGCCACCTAGGTGCAAAGGTAATTGCGTTTGCTGAGGGATGCTGGAGTCAGATTGAACGATATTAGCCTCTGGATTTTCTCTGCTGCTGACCAAAACCAAAAGCAGGATGATTAATGTGACCTTGATTGTTGCAGCGAATCAAAACACTTCCTGTCACGTGGCCACCTCTGCATTGTTTTGATAAGGATCAATTAGGAACTCCCCTCAGTGGTTTACATCCTGTCTCTGCTGCAGGATGGTGCAGCAACAGGACTAATCAGTTGGTGAATGTTTTATTCCAGGCAGGTTTTTATCTGTCTTTAATAAGGTGAGGATGGGCCGACATGAGATGAACAAGATCAAACACCTCACCACGTCGTGTGAGATTCAAACGATCGACAGGGAAAGGACAAACTCTATTTTTGGCGTTGGCATTGTTATTGCCCAAAAAACGTATAAGAATCTTTTCCCCTCATTCAGGAGAGATTCCGGTTTACGCTGATGTTATTGTTCTCGTCCTGTAAGAGGGGAAGGCAGCTTTGGCCAGAACATCTGTCAGAAATATTCCACTCTAATCAATCCTTAAAGAAGACAAATGAAGGTTTCCCAGTGTTTCTTTCCTTCAGTGTGGGTTTTAAAGGTTGTTTGCGAACGTAAAAGTTCTGCAAAGTTCAAAAGCCATAAGATAAAGTGTTTGAGACAGAGGAGCAGCAGCAATGGACAGTCTGAGGACAGTGATGTGTTTTCAGAACATTAGAGCGTGTAAACACAAACTAGAATTAATCTCCCTGAACATGCCTCCTTTAATTTTTACTAGAAAAAGTTCCCAATAATTGAATCTCGTCAAACATCAGAGAAAACTTCATAATTCATCAACTCTTCATTCAAATCCCTTTAGATCTGCTCTCTTCTCTGCTAGTGTCAGTTATCGGAAACGACTTAAAATGCTCCTCTCAACTTTTCTGCCTTTCTATTAATGCCTTGCTTTTCATAATCTAATTAATCACATTTTGGATCATAACTCGTTGACTTACACATTCATCTCAGAAGGAGCAGATGGTCACAGTCTGTTATTCGCTCTTCCTGCCTGCAGGACATTAATGTAAACTAATAAAGCCTGTGAGAGTTTAGTCCACTAGTTAAAACTAAAACTTTTTCACAAGCTAGATTTTTTTTTTTTTTTTTACCTCTCTCAAGGAAATCTGGTTGAATGATCCTCTAAAAGGTTTATGTGGGTTTGTTTATCATGTTTATCGCAAATGCAACTGAATTGTTTTCGTCTCCATTCAAGCCTTGATTTTTTGTTGTTTGTCTTTTTCTCTCCTCAGCTCCAGACTGCTCCGTCTCAGCTCCTGCAAATTCCTCTTTCTGGACCCGGGAGGAGTACACTGAGGCAGGGCTGGCTAAGGCCTCCCACAAGGCTGTGGTGGACCAGGGCATCATGTGGGTCATCGGCGGATACGTCTTCAACGCCTCTGACTATCACGTAGTCAAAGCGTAAGTACTGAGCTTCTACAGTAGGATTTTTAGGCATTTGGCTTCTACTCTTCCCCCCAAAAAAACAGCTTGTCATGAGTCCTGCCGTTTTTTTTTTTTTATGAGACAGTAGAGGATGTGCTTTGTGCTTCCATTGCTGTCAGGAGGAAGCCACAGGACTTCCTGATGGTTGTTAATGAAGAGGTAACAGAACAGAGCTCTGCACAGACGGCGCCGTGTCGGACACAGAGTGAAGGGCATGATTAAAACCATGAAATTACAGGAGAGGCTGCTGCTCCTCGCCCTGAACTCCACCCAGGAAGATCACACTGATTCCCTTGACTCATGTTTTGGTTTTACGGTCTGCTGGCTGGCTGAGGTCTTTTTTTATTTTTTTTTATTTTTCTATTTCTGCCCAGGGTCTATTATATATGACTGTAAAAGATCTTTCTGCCAGTTTAACACAACTTTTTATATTTGTTGCTCTTATCATAAATATCCTTCAGTGTCACATTTTAGCTTCTACCAAACTTATTTGCAGCGTTTAAAGGACAATGTTTTCTACAATATGTGGAAAAAAGACCGTACGACCGACATAAATGAAAGACCCACAATCCAAGCTTGTGATGAAGATGACATGATAACAATCGAGGCATTTCCTGTCAGAGCAATTTCCTGGGAGGTCATCTGTTGCTTGTTTTAGCAGGATTCAATTGTTTGAGGTCGTTGAAAGTTTGGAACCTGAATAACGACAAATTTATTCTGACACTACTGTGGTTCTATCAAGCACCGTCTGTTTTAGTGTTTTAGAGTTTATGTTTGGAGCGTGTAAACTTTAGAATGACCAGAAATAACAGTCAGCAGTTTGAGAGCAGCCCTGGGGTCACGGCCGCACATTTACAAATGCAGGCAAATGTTGCAGGTCAGAGTTCTCCAAAGTTCAACTCCGCAGGAATTCACGCTGCCAGGAATCTGACATTGTTCCATTGATAGTAAAAGCGAGGAGTTGTAATTTAGATGTGTGTAAACAGACAAACCCATTTGGAGCCCATTTAGGTGTTCCCCACAGATCTCCGTCTGGCTTCATACGCTATCACAGACTGTGTCCCAGATAGATGTGTATTTATATATTCAGAGATACAGAAACCCACTTGTCAAGTCAAGGAAGGAAATCTTTTCTTTTACTTCGACGTGTAAAAATGAGCACAGGCGAGATCAGGACATATTCATATGCACTTTGCATGTGAGGAAAAAAGCTTTGAGAGGCTTTCCTGTAACGCTCACCACACATTTCTGTTCTCTCCCGTGCAGGTATAACCTCAGCAGCAAGAAGTGGCTGACCCTCGACCCCTCCGTCAACACGGTCACGCCACGATACGGCCACTCGCTGGCTCTTCATGAGGTTTGTGGAGGAATTCACATCTCAGCTAAGACACAGCACAAAACGATTCACTGTGTATTTTACATGCATGTGTTGTTTGTGTCAGCTGCACCATGAATAAGACTTCAAAGAGGATGAGAACACAGCAGATGACAACTAAATTAAATCGAAGCACTGGCAGAAACGTTGCAAACTCCCCGCCCTGTTATTTATGCTTTCAGCGTTGTCTGTTTGTTGTCTGGAACTAATATCTAAATCTCTGGGTTTTGATATACTGCAGTGAAGTGGTGAAGCACTTTCTCTTCAGCCAAAAACACTGTTAGGAGCTGCTGATGGAATAATAAATTACAGAGTGAGGAGGATTCACGGGAAGACGCAGTCTGTCTGCTCTGTGGTTTGGGAGAACAGAGTTTGGGCTGCAGCGTTGGTAATGAACAAATTGCATCACAGCGTGTGTGAATGTGTCTTGAAAGTTAATGTGGGCTCACAAGACAAATCTGAAATGAAATCAGTGTTGATACGAAACGGATAGAACTGATGAAAGTCTCGCAACCATGGATGATGTAGCGGCTCGGTCTCTCAGGAAGACGAACCCGCGCTGGTTTATAAAAAAGCTGAAGCCGCTTTCACCTTGAAATGAGGAGAAACATAAAACCTTTTTGTCATTGAGCTGATATTACATGTGAAACTATTTAATTATTTAATTTAATTTCCATTAGCTGCACCAAATCTCTCGTAGATTCACAGATATCACTCCCCTCAAAGTGCCTAATTGTTAACATCCCGATCCATTAACTATTTATTTAGTTATGATCTAATTCTGCTGCTCTGTCGGTCTTTGTTTCAGGGAAAGATCTTCATGTACGGAGGAAAGATCGACTCCTCGGGAAACGTGTCCAGCCAGCTTTGGGTTTTCTACATCCAGAACCAGACCTGGGTCCTCCTGAGTCCCCGGGCCAAGGAGCAGTATGCTGTGGTGGGACACTCTGCCCACATTGTGCCGTCCTCCCAGGAGGGGGGCGACCCCATCATGCTGGTTCTGTTTGGACACTGTCCTCTGTATGGTTACATCAGCCAGGTCCAGGAGTACAACATCGGTAAGCTGGACATGATGTCAGGGTGTTTGACAGGGTTGTCTTGAGCTTCTTTCGGGAAAATGTCCACGTGAGAATAAAGCAGGAAAATGTCCATGTGAATGCGTCTGACCCGCAAAATCTCCAGCTATGTTCGAGTGTGAAAGACAAAGTCCACGTCCGGGTGCAATTTTTCGTGTCTGCAGCTTTGGAAACCAAACGTCACGTGTTCAATGCTCATAAGTGCTTTATTTTGGACCACGTGTTTCCGGGCTCGCAACCTTTAGCTTCTCTCTTGCTTGTGCTAATAAGCCTGACTCTGTGTCTGAGTGCCTAATATATCAGTTTACAACAACAGGAAAGTAATACTGAATACATGAAGCTAACGAGTTCTCCACATATGTTCCATCCAATCCACCAAACACGTTGGCAGGAAACCAGACTTCATTAAGAGGCCTCGTTGTCGTCTAAAAGCCAATCTGTCTGAGTAAATGGGAGGAATTTAACTGCCACTGTGCCTGATGGACAAGAGTGCTCCGGTTGGCTCATAAATAATTTGATAATCTTCACCTGAACAGTCAACAGACAATAACATCTGATGACTTTCTGATATTACTCTTGACCTTGTAATGGGTTTTTATGAGTAATACTACCAATATCTGTATCAGCTTATCTCTCCTTCAGTTGTAAAACGATGCGTGAGCTGCGTTAACAAACTTTACATTACGTCTCAACCCCCCCCCCCC